AAGCAAAAAATTAATTTTGTTAACCTTAGGACATATAAAGAATCACAGAAATACTATTGTCGCATAAAGGTATTCTAATAGCTTTTGAAGCAGTTGAGAACACAATGAGCTGAACTATGTAAGAAAAAGCATAAAATGTTTAGATATTAACGATCATTATTTTAACGGACATATGCATTCAATAATGGTACTAAAAGAATAAACAAGTTTGTTTAATGTATGTGTGCTAGGTTTTGATAAAATAAAGTGTCCTTAAGCACCTTTCACCCTCACATATAGCAAGATAGAGGATTATAGAGAAATATCATAGGATGGAGAATTCGATCTTGCAATAAAGTGGAAAACTGTAGATAATATGACTTTGGTGCAAATGTCCATGTTCATAATCCTTAGCTACTATTCCTACCTATTACTATGCACTACTATGCATTACTACTCAGTACTATCTAGCACGATCAGTACTACCCGGTTTCGAACAACTGGTCTTTGCTCTACAAAGCCCTATAACTTTTACTTGGCCTCTCTCTTCCCTTCCGGACAGGAATGCGGAGTCCTGCGTACCACCCTAATGCATGCTTTTTCCATATCCAGTCACGTGAAAATAGTGTACCTATAGGTTTTCGACTACGTTGAATCACGTGGCAATCTTTGTTTCTAGATGAAAAAATTTTTTACTGGATAGTACTACCTAGTACTACCGGTACTATCTACAGTAGATAGTACTGGTAGTACTAGGTGGTACTGGTAGTACTAGGTAGTATCGGTAGTACTATTATTCATTTCAAACAAAAGACCATGGCCATTTGTTTAATCTTTATCTAGGATGTAGCTACGGAGCTGCGGTTTTCGCTAGTCGAAAGCAAAATGTTGGGGCAATAAGAAAAAGAAAAATTATTGTCTCAAAATCACCTGCAGGTGGTGTACCCTGCGAAGATATTTTGCGAAAGATGTCACACTACGGAAATAAGTATCCCCATAGAAACAAATCGAGTGAGCTTAAGTCTGATGACCATGGAACTCATCGAGTTGGATCGCCTCTTCCAATCCACCTGTTAAGAAACATATGGTGCAAAGACTAGTATACCATTCTATTGCATTGTTGTTTGTGGGTGTCAGTGAATAAATTTGGTCCTATAAAACTGTTATCTGATGAAATCGGGTGTTAGCGGCCTTTTTATCGGCTTTATTTTCGCTGATTTCAATCTGTTTTCATGGAATAACTCTACTGACGTGTTTCAAAAATGAAACTCATCCGGTTCAAAATATGGTGCCAACCAATGGTGCTCACACTTCTAGTCCTATTACATCTCGTTTTCTACACCAAGTCACACTCATGTCATACCTCATACACTTGATCTCAAACTCATTTGTCCCGCACACAATGCCCTTTACATTTCGTCTTACACACATTCTTATATTTTTCTTGTTCATCATATACTTGTCATCATGTTTCTTCCTTATCTTAACTTTATATATAACGTCTTCTGTTGTGTGTTTTCTTTTTAATGAATGCGATTGAAAGTGAATTTCAGTGCATTTTACTAATCACGAAAAACAATTTTGGTACGAGATCGTCGAGATTTGATAACAGAAGAATCTCGACGAATTCCTGAAGAGATATCTCGATAAAGCAAGGTGAAATCAACGTCCTATCTGCCTAAAGAAAATCTATTCAGTGAGAGCGTTTCCTTTAACTGCAACTAAATAGTTCTACTAGACTTTTTTCAAATTTTGAGGGAGATTTTTTCAGTTTTTTATTGGCTTTATACTGTTGACTTTAGTAATTTAAAGATATGCACAAATTACTTCGATTTTTGAAAAGTTTTACAGAAATCTTCAGGGGCAGGAGAATTGGTTTTGCCAAGGCTTAACTGTTGGAGAAGATTTAGCAGATAAAAGAGAGCATAATATGGTTATTTGGAGTCGGTTTAACTGGCCCTTACTGCGCAACAAACAAAATTTATTTAGTACAAACACGTTGAGTTTAAAGTATCAAAATCATTTCTTTCTTTAACCGCAATAAACTTGCATGACTCATAGAGAAGTTTGACAAGAAATTTGTCTTTTCTCTAGTTAGACGTCAGGACGAGGATTAGTGAGTGGATGGGTGATCGCCATTGAAGGTCGAATCACCGATTATTTCGAGGACGTTGACGTATGTATCCTCAACTGTGTTGAAAGAAAAGTGAGTGTGAGGGTGACAGAAAGGATTACAGAAAGGCAGTCTTGAGGACTGCATGGTAAGGGCCAGTGCAAGTTTCCAAGGCTTGTGCTTTTCTGTAACGAAATAAGCGGTTGTGAAACAAAATTTATTTAATCAATATAGTAATATGAGATCTTCATTCATGGAATTCCTTTGTTTATACAATATATGTATATGTTACAAATGGACAGCGCAAAGTGAAGATATTACTTAATGGTACAGAATTTTGTGGTGTGATGCTGAATGCAAACTTTGATTAGTTCATCTGTATATAAAATTCTATTTGATCAACAATACCATAGTTATAACGATGACCGCCAAATTTTGTTATAACTACATCTAACTGAATAGTTTTCGTTTCTGTAGGGCAATAGTCTCGTTTAAGTATAAACTGTAATTCTGTGTTATTTAAACGAGAAACACTTGTAACTGGGCCTAAAAATATTCGAAAGGAAGTCATGTATAAACAATTGGTCGGATTCAAGAAAGCTACGAATTTTAGTTCTCAGCATGATATGGATAGAACAATTTATTGTGGACTATGCTAAGGCCGCAACTCCAGAGTAAAAAGAAATGCTGATGAGAGAAATTTCCCAGTTGTTCACTCGCTTTCCGAACAAAAACTAGTGGATACTGGATGATCGACCATGCTGATTCCGAACATGACTATGAGAGCTGCCCTTAGACCTTCGAAGACTGATTTTCCAAGCTAAAAACCTTTTTTCCCTAAAAGATTTCCTGATCTGTTCGGATAGTAGACTGTGTCGAATTGTCTATAAAACACTAATTTTTGTCGTTTCAGGTAGATTCTTGAAGAGATATAGTTATAATATAATTACAGTTATAGTATAACTGTGATTTTTTGCACCTTCTAGTTCCCTATAAACTCGCTTAAAACCTATCTGAAATGACAACAGATAACTCGACATGCTCTATAATATGGACAGATCAGGAAAAAAAATTGAAGAAAAAAAGTTTTTAGCTTGGAAAATCAGTCTTCGAAGCCCTAAGAGCAGCTCTCATGGTCATATTCGGAATCAGCATGGTCGATAATCTAGTATTCACTAGTTTTAGTTTGGAAAGCGAGTGAACAGTTGAGGAGCTTCCCACGTGAGTCTGAGTCTCCTTTTAATCAAGAGAAATATTATTCTTTTGTGTTAGTTATAATTTCTCAAACATTATTTTGCAAATGTCAGTTGTACGAAACATAAATTTTTCTTCGCTCAAAATTTATCCACTAACCTCTTAGAATGAACCAGTTGATGAACTGTCACTAACTCGTACAGCGAGTCTGAGTAAAGTCGTGATTTTCTAGACACGTGCATGAAGTATTTGCATTATTTTAACCACTAGACTGTGCTGGAGGTAGAATTTTTTATATATGAAATTACCTATGGACGTTTGTTTAATGATTTTTTGATTAATATCAAGAAAATAAACGGTAATAACGGCACTATCATCTAGATTATCATAACCACCTAGTCTACCAGAGATCACAAATTTATTCGTTCCTTTCTGAATAAAGCTTGCATACTGTTCTACATTAATTGTTTGCGACATTATTGTTTGTTCCGATGAACCACCCCAAAAGAAACATATCTCACCATTATCGAACTGATCTGGTATTGGATGTAGATTGTTAAGAGCTGCATGTGTTATCGTTGTTATTGTCCCCTCCTTAATTGTCCATCCAAGTATAAAATCTAGTGGTGTATCAACATCGTCTGAACATTGATTAATTTGTGATGCTGCACCATTTCGAACTAAATTAGGTGAATATTTTTCTAAATACGTTGTACCATTTGGTAATATTGTTTGATGTAATGACAAACTACCTTGAAGTTGTTGATCAGTTATTATTGAATTTTCCAAATTTGCTCGTGTAAAATCGACACCTTTTATGATGACATTTCTAAAATCAACATTTCGTAATATTGCCGAAGAAAAATCGACATTAGTCAATTGGGAAGAAGTAAAGTTTGATCCAATAAACGATGATTGACTAAAATCAGATTCACTTACATTTGTGTTAATGAATAATGGGTTGTCCATCCAGTAGACCCGACAAAAAAGTTGGATTTTCGATCCTGTCTTGACTTATTCCCCTTTGACGGATATTTTCAATTAAAAACTTTTTTTGTGGCGAACATAGTTTCCATTCTGAGACAGCATTTATGTTAGATTTCTATAATGAAACAACTCGTAATAGTGCAATGGACCACTTTAATTTTAAAGATTTTTTGTGAGATTCAGACTGGATTTTGCAAGACTTTACCGTTACTTTTGAACTCCGATTTGTTGCAATTCTTCTGCAGATTTCAATGGTCCACTTCACATCTGAGAACAAGAATAAAGCGTCTTATGGATTTTCGTGAAAAAAAAACATGTAAAGTTTTGCTCAGTCAATCGAAAACAAAGTTTGTCAGCATAGTGCTGTGCTCTAAGTATGCAATTCTTCTTGTTATCTGCTGTAAAAAGACGCATCTGAGCCTTTTCTGGTCATAAGCAGAGGATCTGTGAGTGTTGGTCGCTGGTAAGAAGAGGTGGGTATGGTAACTGATAGTCATTTTTTTCGAACTCAGCTGTATAACCGTTTATTTCTCTGAATCGCGAGGAGTTCCACAAAAATGACGTGAGGTGATACAAGTTTAATCAAGTTTTCCAAGGTAGCGCGTAGTACTAGTCGGAAAAATTGGTGTCGCAAAGTTTCTCATACCACAGGTCTTATATGCGAAAAGAAAGTACAAAAGAAGGTTAGACACTCATAGTGTCAGAAAATACTAACTGCGTTCATTTGTCCATAACATTCCATTTTCACATTTCAATAACTCTTTATCACAAAAAAGAATAATTTATGTCGGCTTTAAACATCGCATCCATTCCTTCATAGTAAAACAAATCCTGCCATGCCGCTTTATTATCCCATCTAGCCACAGTTTTATTCATAACATAATCTCAATGTTATAATATAATCTCAAACGACTGAATCTAAAATTTTGTGAAAAATTGTATCAGACAAAGCTTTTTTGTAAAATGTTCGAAATGGATTTCCTGCGCATTCCCACGTGACATCAGTCAATGCATTGAATCTGATGGTCAATCTGAAGTTGAAAAGTCAACAATACATATACGAGAATTTGTGCCTGTTATATATTCTTCTCGCGAACACTTTTTTCCGACACTTCTCTCTATCCCCTTTAAACTCAGTGTCCTAAATGGCTGACTTCTAATGAATTATCTAAGTATACATTTTTCAGATATAAACGAAAAAATATTAAACTACTTAAATTAACTTGATTTACATTCGCTTGTTCTAAGTTCAATGGTTTTGGTCTTCTTGTTGTTTGAATAAGTGATGTATCATAAAGAAATTCAATTAAATAACGTTTTCTTAATGGATCAAGTTGCTTCAAAACAGATAATGTTTTTGCTCTGGCTAATTTTGAAGCGAAACTGTCCCCGGATCGTAAAATTATATCTGAAATATCATTCACATAATTATTAAAAATAGATTCTTGACGCATTTGCTGTTGCTGTTGTACATTATCAACATTATTATAATAGTGTTGTATCGGTTGTACTTGACGTTCTCGAGTTATTAAGAAAGTAACGAAAATGCAAATCATAACCAACGGTAAAAGTAATAGTTGTAACCAATGAAATAATGTTTTATCATTAAAGCCAAGACAGTTATGATGTTTTTTTGACGGAGCCACCTTGTTGTCAATACCGCCAGATTTAAGATTATTTATCGTGTCTTGTAATAAAATTGGCTGCATATCTAGTTCAATCATACTATATATAAGAAGGATAATTATTAACTCTCAAAACACAATGATTTAAAGTATGATAAACACACTTATTTATTCGGGATGAGCCGTTATCGGCGAGAATGCTCTGTCAAGTAAGCTTCGAAAGATTCCTTCACAATAACAAGAAAATAGTCATAATCGCAGAAAAAAATAACTATGTGTAACAATTATACGTTTGATCACTATTACCTCGCAGTATATTTGAGTTTGAATAGGTTTATCTGTTTAACTTTTTATCTTATTTTTTATTTACCTGGTTAGTCATATATAGAATAAATATAAATTCATTCTGACATGAGTGAAAAAAACGACACTTGGCTTCCGGGGTGTATTCGCTGCCATACGTCCCTTTTTTCAAAATTAAACGTCAACTGTTTTTCGAGATTTTTTCTAAAGAGTATAAACCTATACTATTGAAGCCATCTCATATCTCATGTCAAGTTTTCTTTTAAAATACCGCTGATTATCGGTGGTTCAACAAAATACCGTCGGTATACCGCACGGTTAAGAGACAAAAATCATTTATTAGACCGCGGTCTAAGAAAATACCGCACGGTAACCGTTTTTGTCCATTCACCATTGTATTTTGCGCCCGTGAAGATATAAAAGAAATACAGAAAAATTCGAGAACTTGATTTCTTCTTCAGATTAAACTTTTCTTTTAGATCATATAGACTCACCGAAGTTTGAACTTCGACTCGAGTCAAATTTCTCTCAGTCGAGAGGCTGTCTGTGCTTACAAGTGCTCAACAATAAAAAAAACAGAAAGTTGAAAATTAGTTTCGAACTCCTGTTCTACATTACATATTCATAATGATAAAATACCAGACGGCACCACTGGCTATACCGACGGTATTCATGGCATACCGCATGATTACCGCCGGTATACTGAACGATGTTTTAGTTTACTACTCTCTAAAAACTCACTTAACGGTTTCAGACTGTCACATGTCTTCTGCAAAACCTGAAAGGGTTTAGAAATGGTTGCACTTCTTTATACCCTTTTAAGTTTCGTAATAAACCTTCTTTTTTAGAGTGTATGGTGGTATACCTCCTGGTGACCGTCGGTATTTAGCCGGTATTAAGCACCTAGTGTAGTTGTTGTTTTTCTTCGAAGTTGTTTTTGTAACGTTGCCGCCAGAATTTAGCGGTATCTTTGATAGCGAGTTGGCTCCGTCAAAAAAACATCATAAGTGTCTTTATGATAAAACATTGTTTCATTGGTTACAACTATTGCTTTTACCATTGGTTATGGTTTGCATTTTCATTATGATTTGGAGTAGTATGTACCTTTGAGATAGAGCAAGAATAATTGTTGTATAGAATAGTTTGTATAAAACTGCCACATAATCATGATTTAAACTAAATCTTTAATAGTATTTTACAGATTTTGAGCTTTCGACAGCTAGCTGATGTCATCATCAGGAAACAGGTATAATGAATGAAATAGATAAATACTAGTTATATTCTCTTCTATTTCTTTTGTGTTTTCAATCACGTGTTTCTTGAATTGGACATAAGTTATCTTTCCCATTCTTCATACTTGTTTTCAGATGATGACATCAGCTAGCTGTCAAAAGCTCGAAATCCATCAAATATTATTAAAGATTTAGTTTAAATCATGTATTTTTGTGGCAGTTTTACATCCGATAGCTATGAGCGTATGTCCGAGATTTGTTGCAAGCAATTACGATATCGACAAGCAGCTGAGTATTTGACAAAGTCAATTGAAATCGACTTGAGACAAATTGTCTCAAGTCGTTTGTTAATGAGAAATCCATTCGGCGAGATTCGTCTGAGACAAATCTCGCCGAATGGATTTCTCATTAATAAACGGCAATGCGTCTCGATAGAATTCGACGCTTATTTTGATCCAATGTTCCTTTCTCTTGAGTCAAATGATTAATGATGATGAATGACGATCATTAATGGCTTATAAGGCTGATTTTTCACACACGCCAGCTCTAAAAATAAATCTGTTCTGAAGTTACAAAATCCGACGAAGGATTACTGATGAACATCACTTGTCCCATGCCGTGAAAATACGAATCCATAAAAATAAACAGAGCTTGCAACTACGGATGACGGGAAAGAAATCGTTTGTACCTAAATATTTGATTGTCATCGGACATGGTACCGAAAAGAGAACGGCATGTACATTCATCGAGGCTAATCTAATTGTACACCTTTCATATCGATATTAAGAATTTCACATGAATCTTCAGTGGCTAATAAAACTGTTGCACAGAAAATACGTTAAAATGACAGAAATTCAGCCTGCCCTAGTCCATATGTGTCTTTAACGTAGTGATAAAATTGTTGATCTTTTAAGTTAAAAATATCTTGTGGCAGTTAGAGAATATCAAGTAAGACAGAAGTTGTCGACATTTTGAGATTTGTGTTGGAAATGAGATAAGATTAGATGTACAGTTGGTAAAAGGAACTTTCGTCACAACGCACTTTCGTCATAGGGGGGGTGTACTTTCGTCACGTGTGACGAAAGTGCGTTTTTCAGAAAAAAGCATGGTGACGTAAGTTCCCGTGAATTTCGGAGTGTTTTTTGTGGCTGTGACGAAAATTCACGTTTTGATGACGAAAGTTTCGTCGAGTATGACGAAAATACCCTTGTTTTTAATGGTTCCTGCTTAACTTTCATCACACGTAAATACCGCTATAAATACAGAATAGAGTCAAGTGCTGTGATATTATTATGTGATCGGGAGCACTTC